TTAGGGTATGATCTCAGGAACTCTGGCAGAGAAATGAGCTTGAAGTTAGCAATTGTTTTCCTTCCAGACTGAAGTGTTGGGTACATCAGTCAAAACAGCTGACAGCATCAGCTCTGCTGAGTAAAATAGCCTCCATTTTTTCAGGCAGAGAAGCGACGAAGGAAATCACGTCAAGTCCCTGCAGCAGGCAGAACTACCAGAATAATGTATTCCAGTGGACTAAATGTTAGGTTAAGGTGTGTTGTTATTTTTCCTCCCTTCTGCTAAGCAATATAAACTAAGTAAGTTCTAGGCCAAGTAGCTTTCCCCAAGGACGTTAAAACAGCCACCAATTAATAAAGTTTCTCACATGCTTTAGGAAAAAAAACTAGGTCAGTCCTATTCACAAAGAATGCTTCCAAAATATTTTTATTTAGTCCTTTAGGTGATTTGCCAACCTTCAGATCTCTGCTTTTGATCAAAATGCATATGTCATTGCTGTCATTTAGTTGTCAAGAACTCCTCTAGCAGAATTATTGCTCCCACAGACTGCAGCTCAGGATTCTGACACTCCCTCACATGCAGGTCTCAGCACGTGTCAGTATCAGCAGTTCTCCTTCCTCAGAAGACAGAACTTAACTCAGTGCCTCAAACTGATTTAGAACAAACAGTGTTTCTAAATCCTCCTGGAAAACCCTGTTTGGCATCCCTGCTAATCTCAATCAGTTGCACTGTTGTGGCCAAAGTCACTTTGAACTCAGTTAGATGGCAGGGGAGTGTTTGGCTATCTGTGCTCGGTGTTAGAAGACAAAGTACGCTGCCAGCAGAGCACGCCAAGGTTCACTCCTGTGTTCCTTCCTGTACACCTATCTTTAACAGCCCTTCCACACGCTAATCCTCCATTCGAAACAGAGTGGATAAACTCTAAATACAAAATCACATATGTAATCCCTGCTACCTGTGATTTTTGATCCTGTGCTATTTTTTTTTTGTGGGATAGGGCTAAAAAAGTCACTTATCATAATTTTAAAAGAATAATTGCAATGTCATTACCTCAAATACAAGAAAAAGGCTCCAGCAGCTCACACACTGTATGTATCAACATTCTTCCTCTCTGAAACTATACTAGTAAAACCTCTTCCCCTTAAAATGAACCCCAGGTAAATATGTTGGCCAATAATCAGAGCCACTGCCATATCTGAATTAAATGCAGAGTGGTCTGAGTGAAAGCAGCACTGATGTCAAAGCAGCACCACCCCTGAGCAAGCAGCTTTGATGAGACATGCTGAGAAAGTTTCTAGGAGATCAGCGTTCCAACACAAAGTGCTGACTTGATGAAATCCAACATACTCTACAGGAATGTGCTAATTCAATCAAAACTTTTGAAAGAGGACAGGCTAGCTTGCCAAGCCAGCCAACCAGTCTAGTGAGCTGACTGGCTCTGCCCAGCTCCCTGGGGTCACTGGCTTCCCCATCTGGCCAGGTGCCAGGTTCCTAGAGCCTGCTCACATAATAATAACAGCATTAGTGTCTTCAAACAAAGGAATCTGAAAGTGAAAAATTACTTCAGAACCAACTACAAGGTTTCTTCAACGGTCATCAGTGGTATTTGTCGCAAAACATCTAAATCTTGTGCCCCTAAACTCACAAGTCTCTCCTGTGCCTTCTGAATTTTTATAAAATACCTTCCAAAGGAAAAACAAACAAACAAAAAGCATTAATACTGTAACAAGACAAAATGAAAAATAATTCTATTCAAAACCTAAACTTCAGCAGTAGGTCCAATCATCAGCAGGGAGTTGGAGGCGAGTTGCTTCCAAAGCAGCGAGTAGGTTCAAGGTGCGCCTGCCGGACCAGAGGCAGCGCTGCCTCGTAAGCAGCGTCCTTGGAGAGCAGTCCCTCAGCAGGCTCCGTGGCAAACCTGAACCAGATGGCACGAGGGGCCTCATGTCACACTTTGCAGAAGCTCAAAGGAAGAGGTATGACTATATAACATTTTAGCAGTGGTTTTCAAAGAAGTCTGCCAACTAGAAAGTAACTCACTTTTCTTTGTAAAACTGGCTTTTGGTAACCTGTAGCTAAGCAGTGCACAAGGCCTACTCTGGCTTCTCAGCACCTCAACGTGTAACAGTACGAGGAGAGTTCTTAATTGCTAAAGAAAGCAAGACAATTTAAGATAGTACCGACAAACACCACGACGTTTTTGCACAATCCCATCCACTTAACCGGTTTTTGTATCAAAATGCCTAGATACTGGTTCATGTGTGAGCACCACGAGCAGTTTAAGAGATACTTGGAACAAAGTTCCACAGAGAAAGGAAACAGCTCTTTTCACATGCCAAATTGAGTCAGCAATGAGATCTCTGTTGCAGGCAAGTCACACGAGTTTGAAAGAATAAGGTTAATAAAATGTACTAATTTATTTATATGAAAATCAGCACAGCTTCCAGCATAGAACTGGGACATATTTGTGACCGCTGCCTTTCAGAAAACACGTGTAAATTAGACAGCTGCCAGAGTCTGCAGCTCACTGACCCTCCTGCTGCCAAACGCAATGCACAAAGGTACCTCAGAAAGCAATTAGAGATTGGCTGGAAGGGCTCAACTGTTCAAATTTTTTTTCATATCACAGCTGAACAGTCATAACATTTTTCAGGGGAAGACTGTATGTCTCATACCCACATTTAAAAAGAAAGGAGGTTTGTCTTCTCAGAATGACAAAATACATACAATTTCTCCCTGTTGTTTCTCAAAGAACAAATAGTACATTTACAGTATCATGAGGGAACGCATCTAAGAGTGGAACCAGACACAAGCACAGTTCAATCCAACTGCTCTATTTTTAAACATCTCACCACCTGCAAAGTCTAAGGCTCCCTTCAACTACTTGCAATAAAATTCAGAGAAAGGAGGTGACAACAAAAAAGGAGAAGAGGAAAAAATAAAAAGGTATTTTTCGTGCTAATGGTAATAGGACTGGGAAACCACCAGTGACCAACACAGAAACATGATGTCTACTTGGCTCTGTTGGAGTATGTGTGGTCAAAATGACAGTGAGAAAGTAAAGCATAAAGTAATGCCTTCCATTTTGGAAGAAGGTATAAGAAGTTGATAGCAGCATCTTTTCTTCTCTCAAGCAAAACTTGAAAGGACTTTCTGGCTTACGACAAAAAGGCTGATCCATCACTGATCTCATCACAGCAAACAGCAAAATATACAAGAAAAAAATGCATGCATATAGCTACTCATACACAATTTTGGGCCTGTAATAATGGCAGCATTATGTTACCAGTCTGCTAGTTAGTTCTGTTCCATTAGTCCCATTAAAGGGATCATCATACCACAAAGTAGCAACTGAGCACTGCACAACTCCGAAGGCTAACTAAAAAGTTAGTCAACTGAGTGTGCTTGTGTACATGTAGGAAGCACCAGGGGTGCAGGGTGGGATTTCACTCAGTCAACTCATAATTTATGCACATCCCATTAGCTGGATTATCAACAGAGCTTGCTCTCCGCCAGCTTGCCTCCTCATGCTCCACCCTAACTGATCCCAAGCACATTACCCCTCCCTGACAGGGGTGACCAGCCTGCTTCTGATCAACATCCCTTAGTAGATATATTTATAACAGTTTATCTTTGTCCTAAATTTAAAAAGGCAAAAGAAAGAGAAACAAAGTCTCCCTCTATTCAATGAAATCAACCTTCTCAAATATATGTGTGGTAACGCCAGGAGAAAAAAAAAAATATTTACTTTTCCTGAGTGCTGTTCTTTGAAATGCATTTCACAACTCTAAGTATATGATTTCATATTATTTTTGCAATTAAGGGTCAGCATTCTTACTGTCCAGGCAAAGAATAAGGTGGGTCCATCCATCCTTCAAGACTTGTTGGAATAAAAAAAATCCCTTGTAGGACACCATAACAGCAAGGTGCCAGCAAGTTATTTATGCAGTAAGTAACTCATGTTGGAAGGGACATCTGGAGGTTAGACTAAATTGTTCAGGGCCTCGTTCTGTCAATTTCTGACCATCTCCAAGGATGGAGGCTGCACAACAGCTTCAGGTGCCTACTACTGTGTTTGACCACCCTCATTATGGGGCATTTCTACCTTTTATTCAATCACATTTTTCCCTCATGCAACTTGTGACCACTGACTCAATGTTTTGCTCTGCACCTCCAAAAAGAGTCCAACTCCTCCTCCTCTACGATCTCTTTCTAATCGTGTTCTGTTCTCACATATTCTATATCTGATGACTGGTGAGCAATAATCCTAGGCACTAGGATTTCAGTTACATTTTTCCAATTCCTAGTTTTCTGAAACCTTTTTGTATGCTTGCCATAGAACTGAGTGTCAGCCTAAGCCACAGTGATAAACAGGTTTGATGCCAACAGTGGCAAAAGTCTTGGTTGCCTTGCATCAAAGGTTGCCTAGGAGAGCTTAGTAGTAGGAAAAAAAACCAAAGGTACCAAAGACAATTCATTGTCAAGTTTCACTAAAATGACAAAACCGTACGTATCTACCAGTCTTTATGAAATATCACACATGCAATCAGCTAAGGAGAAAGCTCTTTAGCTCCTTCAGGAAAGGGTAATTTTCTTGAATAACATGCAGATGCACAGTGCATCAAGCAACAATCAATAATATCCCCAAGAGACTTCAGAGACCTCACTCACTACTTGATGTCATTAGATGGCGGGACACTTAAGCTACACGTATCTTAAGTGGACACTAAACGCACACTGACCAATATCTGATCTTATAATCAAAAAGTAGAATAAATACACTCAAATAAGAATAATTTTATACTTGCATAACAAATCAGTGGTGTACATTATCTTGGCATGCAGTATAGTAAGACCTAGTTGTCAGGAATTAATTTGAAAAAATAAATTACAAGCAAAAAACATAGATAATTTCTGAGTCCACTGGACTAGTTACAAGAGAATCTTATTAAATAAAGAATTATTGTGACTCTAATGTTTAAAATGAATAAGTAACTATTAGCTTACTTCTTTCTTACCATTGTAGGTTATCCTTGGTTTTGTCAAACACATCACAAGATGTAAATCCATTTCATCAGAAGATACAAATTTTGAACATACAGGGCACTTGAATCCTATGGAAAATAAAAACATGTAACTGTGAGTACACTCGACCACATTTCAAATACTTATACTCAAGCAAAAAACCTATTCTGCACACATGAAAAAGGAAGACAAAAAAAAAATATCTGGCAGCTTTTCAGTTTTGACTTGATATTTCTTATACGAATATAATTCCCTTGATTTCAAAAGATCTCAAAATGGACCATTGTTTCTCTAAATGGATCTCTTGCCAATTGCCGATGTGTCAGCACCTCTGGAATGCAACCCTAAGAACAGTTTAAGACAGGAGACAAGAGGATAAGACTACTAAAACAGAAAGCAGAAACGTGTAGAGAGCACAGCCATTACAATCTGAACCCTGAAATAACATCTTCATTTCTACCAGGAACAGCACTGAAACTAACAAATGGTCTCAGATTTATATCTCATCATGCAAGCTGCAGCATCTTTTGCCAGTCTGGGGCACAGGGAAAACATTAACTCAAGGCTGTCACCTCGCCCACTGAATCACTAACATTTCCTGTAGCCCTGAATTTATTTGACTTCTCTCATCCTAGCCAAGCATGACCTTGTTTAGCTTGTGAAGTCACACCCTGAGGCAATATGGAGTAAAGAATAATTAAGACAGTCTGGATTGTGACGCAACTGCATAACAATCCATGATAAAAATGCTTAATACTATGTCATCAAAGACAGCAGTCTTACAGTTAAAGCACAAGATTGGTTGGACAACTTCGACAGTCTGCAGAAAAGTCTGAGTTTGATCTGCTGAACAATTAACAGACAAGTGAGAGACAAAAAGGCACCAACAGGGATCTTGATGTGTAACAGCTGTTAAGGAGTATACCTACAGCACAACATACCACAAAAATATCTAAATCCATGCTCAGTGTAAAGAAGCAACTATTTTTTGATGCTGTTGAAAAGTAATGGTGCAAGCACGTACAAAAGGCTACTGCATCTTCCACCAGCATCCACATCTGGGCCTGCTCTAACACTTTAGTTTGTTGCCCCTTACTTTTATACTTCTAGCCTTGGGAGTCCACAATGAACTGAGTCAGCCAAGGATGACAAGAGACTCAATGCTGTACTTCCAAGTTATTGATGCCTGAGAATTTTGGTCTTTGCTGTTAATTATTACCCAGATGTGGATTAAGCAACTGACCTGAAGCATTAGCACCTGATAGATGTAATGCCCTTCATTTATGAGGACAATGACTTTTATTTCTGTAGTGCAGCTAATAGGAAGCAAGTCAAAGCAGACTACTGGTAACACACATGAGGAACTCTGAGCAGCAGCTGAACATGTACTGGAAACCACTTCCTGAGATAAAGTACAGTTCTGATTCTTCCTATTTTAGTCACAAGCAGTTCATATGTATTTTTTTTTTTTTTGTGTCAGTCTTAATCTTCAGTTTAATTATTGGTCTTCTCTCCTGATTTTAAATCCTTCTGCCACAATCCACATCTTTACAAACAACAGTTATAACCACAGGTTAATAAACATACAACAGCCAAACACATCTTTAGAAAAAAAAAAAAAAATCAACAACAAGTTGATAGGATTCATTTACTTCTAGAAAGCTTTGCAGTTACCCTTCAGCCACTCTGTAGCCTCCTTCCCCCAGGCTGCACCTCAAAATGAGTAAATTCAAAATTAGCATCTCAGTCCTCCAAATACCCCAAGCCATCCCATAACTGTTTTGTTAAAGTTTTCTTCAAAAACTGACCTGGGGTAAGTTTTTTCTCAACCTTTACGAGCCTAATGCAATTGATTACTCTCAAGTCCAGCCAAAACCTACTAGGACTCACTCATTATTCTCATTTATATGCTTCTGTAAAGCATAATTGACAGCATATTTTGATGCAAAAATGCATTAACTTCCTTACATGCTGCAGACTAAGTCCTGCTGTGCCAGAAGGAAGAGTTTGCACTACATCAAGTTAACATTTATGTTCACAGCTAGTTAAGCACTGGGACAGTTATTAACAGGTTCCCTCTGCTTTCTGGACAGAACTCTTTCACCTTATTCCCTAGGGTCATCAGCACATCTAATTGGGAGTGACAGGGGACAGTGAAAACCATCAATAGGTCTTTAGAGCCATTGCTAAAGTTAACAGTGTTATTAAGAAGGTACATACCCCAGGAATGCTTGCAGGGAATACTTAAATCCAAATAAAACAGTAGGGAGAGTCTGGGCAAATAATAGTGATTATGGTTGCAATAATAACTATTAAGCTTTTACTTAAAACCATGCTTAAATATAGACAGCTGTGAAAAATCGTTGTGGTTATCCACCTAGGGCATTCAGCTGAATGTGCTTACATTACCATGTACCTACTCCTAAACCTACTAAACAATCTACATTCTAGCAATATATTAAATATTCTAACAGTACAGAATGTTGTGGCTTGTCCAGCGTCAAAGGGAATCTGAAACTAATGGTTAAACAACTACAAATATCCTCCTGACACAGCAAGTCTGGGACACCCAGCTGCTGTAGCTCTACTCAGTGTACAAAACAACACACTGAAGAACCCAAAAAGTACAAGACATCATATTTAAGTAAGCCTTATGGACTAACTTAGCTGCCAGTATAATTATCTTTGTGGAAAAGATGTTTTTTTTCCAGTATCAGCTGCATGCCAGAGTCTAGCCTAAGTGCTCCTTGAGCTTGCAATACTTGCTGAAACTTTTTTCAAACACAAATGAAATCTGACTTCTCATTCCTTCCCAACCTTCTGATGCAATAACCAGCTCCCGGATTTAGCCATTTTCTCCAGGGCATCCACAGTGTATGGTTTGTATGGAGGAAATTACCATTTCCAGCTCCTTTAGCAACCCCAAAGAAAAAAAAAAAATACTCTGACTGTTGACACAATATTTACCTCACCTTATTTTTAAGTGTGTTTGAAAAATATAAAGAAGTGAACAATCAACACTGTCCACAAGCCAGTTAAAGGTCCTTTAAAAAAGCTGGTATTTTCCTACCTTTCCTCAAATCAGAAGGCAATAGTTTCATGACCCAGTTTAAAATTAAGCACTGTGTAAGAACAAAGACTCTATTGTACCACTGCCCAGCAGGCTAACAACATTTATAGCCTATGTTTGATTTTACCACCAGTCTCAAGGAACAATTCCGATAACTGGAAGAAAGTTTCACATGACTTTAACAATCAGCAACAGGTCAAAAATAACTTGCTCTCTACAGGACTTGTTTTACTGGGTTTTGCAGATAAATAATGCATTCATAGACATTTGGACAACAAAGTGGAAGTAGTCATCAGGTGAGGTGGTATCACTAAAAATTACATCTCTAGCTAACCTTTACAACTGCATACTCAAGAGGCATAAAGACAAATGCTTACAAGCTCCCATCATCTAGTTTCATAATCCTGACTACAATACTGAAAGTAACACATTACTTAAAACAATAATCCCAAAAAAAAAAAGTGCAATTACAAGGAAAGAGAGATGGAACAGAAAGTTGCAGTGCGGCTACTAGAGTATCCCAAGGTGGCACAGAAAGTTCAAAATAACTAAACCTGCATAAGTAGCAGGAGTCACATATTGAGACGTGAATTCCTCCTCTCATTCTCTCTTGAATGTATCACTTTCCTCAGACTCTGCCACCTTTTGCAAATGAACATCCACTAAGCCAAGAAATCCCATCCTCTCTCACATCCCTCTACCTAACTCGTCACTTCCATCTCTGCTAGACTTGGGAACTACCCACAGGGACACGTTGATGGGTGGCCATTTGCTCTACCCATACCAGTTTCAACCTCTTATTGATATCTTCCTGTGTTTGCCTTGTTTTGCAAACATCCAACTGTTTAACTTGCAGTTCAATGCATAAGAAAGCAAACAAAAAACATTTAAAAAAAAAAAAAATCCTGAACCTCTATAGCTTTTGCAAAATCATGCTAGCATTCATACTGGAGTATCTACTTGGGGGGGGGGGGGGAAGTGGGGAGGTTAGGAGGGAAGAGCTAAGAGCTTCCGGACAATACAGTGCAGAATGTCACATAAAGGACATTCACTGCACACAAAGGAAACACGTTAAAGCAGTACTACACTGGCACAGAAGAACAAATGATCCTTCCAATTAACGCTAAACAGAAGTAACCACAAATAAAGCCTGCAACAAACCAAAAGACTCCATCAGCCTGATCAGAATAACCTTTCATCAAAAAACCACCTCAGGCAGAACATTGCCAAAACAAAACTAAAAGTATAATGAGACCAGCTCTTCTTTTAAAATAAGCATGCAACATATTAGGATTTTAAGTTTTTGTATTCTTGTGGTTTGAACCAAGATGGGTAGATCGATCCTGGTTTACATTTAAAGAAGTCATAAGAAAAAAACTTTGTATACTCATACTTTTCTAAAATATGTTTGACAGTAAGAAGCCTGACAAACGTTACTTACATATTTGCACTTGTTCTTCGCTACTTGAAAAAAAATGAGACAATCTGGAAGCACAGCATCCAGTAAAGATGATGGTATGAGGTGATATGCAAGAGTGCTATCACACAGATAAAGCCTGCATAATGATGCTAAAACAATATACCACAAATAATCCCTTCCCTCCAACAAAAAGACCTTACATAATCAGAGAAACATGTTAAAAAAGGACCTCAAGAAGTCACCAAGTCTATCCCATACTGAGGAACTGGGTTAGATGTACTTAGAGGATTTAATCTGCCCTTAAAAAAATCAGCCAGTGAAAGGTTTTACACAGACATCCTAGACAATATACAGTGCTGATCAGCTATTCCTAGGGAGTTAGAAAAATCTTCTCTTATCTGTCATCTGGCTGCATTCACTTACAGAATAGGTTGATTACTTCTTATGTGTTCAGTAGACATGGAAAACAGTTGGTAATCATCCTCAGTATAAAAACATGTTCGCACTAGAAAATGTGTGCCCTTTGTCTTCTGCCCCTACCCTGAAAAAATCTAATCTTTTTTCACAGGCCCTGATGCCTTAACCTTTCATTCCTACGG